GGCGCTGCTGATTCCTCTGAAGCTCCACACAAAGCTTTTCCCAGCGTCCTCCAGCTCCCGGGGATTAATGCCCCCCGTTCGGAGGAGGCAGGAGGAACCCAGCCGCCACTCTGAGGCCGCCCGGAGTCCAGAACCCGTCTGAGACCCGGACCAGGAAGCCGGATCCAGTCAGTGGATCCAGGAAACAGCAGCCTGCTCTGCGTTTGGTAGATAAACAACACCAGTAAAAGACATTTAGTCTGCAGTAATTAGAGGAGGCTGGAGGCTGGAGGCAGACGGAGTTCTGAAAATGAGGAAACGGCTTCAGGAGAAGGAGCGCTGCTGGGAGCTGAGGCCGCCTCACTTCATTTAGTCCCCGTCTGGGCGTCTGCTGCAGGGAGCCGACCGGCAGAAGCCGCTTTGGTCCCAACCGTTAAGAGTTTAGGACGGAAAAACTCTGATTAGGAACCTTTTTCTATTTTTGCAGCCAAAAAACACCCAAAAATCACCCCCTTCACGGAAACCTTTTCAGTCTGAGTTAAACTTAGTGAGGCAGAAATTTTAATTTCCTCTTTTATTTCCCCTCCTGACAATTATTATTATTATTATTTATTTATGTTTTCACACATTAGCAAAAAAAAAATTTGGATCTGAACTGTTTAATTAGTTTCAGCATAAACAGAAACACTCTCACAGGTGGAGCAGCATCTGTGACGGAGGCTGCTCTGAGGCCTCGGCCCGGCTCTAAGCCTCCAGGGGGAGCAGCCAGGAGTGAGGAAGAGGAGCAGCCATGAATGAGGAAGAGGAGCAGGGGAACAGCAAAGAATGAGGAAGAGCAGCAGCGTGGTGGCGTCTTTCCGAGGGAACCAGGAGGGAAAAGCAGCTTCCACCAGTGAAGAGGAGAAGTCCTCTGCTGCTTCAGAGCAGATCTCCTCCTGCTCCTCCTCCTCCTGTTCTTCCTCTTCCTCCTCCTCTTCCTCCACCTCATCTGCCTGTTCTTCCTCTTTCTCCTCCTCCTCCTCCTCCTCCAGTGGTGTGATAAACGGGTAGATAATCATCTTTTCATTAAACTTTCAGCCCATTGACTTAAATATTCAACACCCCAATTACAAAGAGAGGGATGATAGATGAATGGATGGATGGATGTATGGATGGATGGATGATGTATAGATGGATGGATGATGGATGGATGGATGGATGGATGGATGATGTTTAGAAGGATGGATGATGGATGGATGATAGATGGATGATGTATAGATGGATGGATGGATGGATGGATGGATGGATGGATGGATGGATGGAAGACAAATGGATGGATGATGGACGAATGGATAATGGATGGATGATAGATGGATGGATGAAAGATGGATGGATGGATGGATGATGTATAGATGGATGGATGACAAATGGATGGATGATGGACGAATGGATAATGGATGGATGGATGAAAGATGGATGGATGGATGGATTGATGACAAATGGATGGATGATAGACGGATGGATGGATGACGGATGGAAGGATGATTGACGGATGGATAATGGATCGATGGATGGTTGATCTATAGATGGATGGATGGATGGATGGATGGATGATGTATAGATGGATGGATGGATGGAACAATGGATGGATGATGGATGGATGGATGGATGGATGGATGGATTATCTATAGATGGATGGATAAATGATGGATGTATGAATGATGGATGGATGGATGATGGATGACAGATGGATGGATGGATGACAAATGGATGGATGATGGACGGATGGAATATGGATGGACGGATGGATAAAATAAGGAAGGATGATGAATGAATGATGGTTGGATAGAGAGCAGAGCATAGATGTGTCTTCTGAGTGCCACAAACGGGGTGCATGCGTGTCAGAGTGCGCGCAGGCGTGCACGCGCGCGTGTCAGTGTATTAGCAGTCACAGCACTGAGGCCCAGCGGCGATTCCTGTGTGAGCTAGCGATAAAGGGGGAACGGGAGGAAGTATAACGGGGGAGGGGGGGGGAGAAAAAGAGCAGAGGAACTTCCTCTGGATCACGTCCCCACTGGTCTTCATCCCTCACACATTACTCTTCCTCACCCCCCCACCCTCACCCCCACCCCCCCATGAAAGAGTCTTGGCAGGGTAATTAAGAATGGCCTCTAAACACAGGAGCAGGCAGGAACGCTCCAGATGAAAGTAAATGATTAAAATAATTACAGGCTGAGTGCTGACGAGCCGCCGTGTGGGCTGGCCGCCGGACATTTGGCGGTAATTAGATAATTAATCTGAATGCAAATGATGAGCCCTAACGAAGCAGCCAGGCTGAACCAGCGACAACCGCCGACAGTGAAACGCGGGGAGGGGGGGGAGTGGTGGTGGGGGGGGTGCGCGAGTTTGGGGGAGAAACACATGAATATGAGAGAGAAAAGCTCCAGAACCAGCGGCGGGAACAGACGGCTCCAAACACTCCGCCCCGTTTGCGGTTTTTCCGCAGACGCACCGAGGCTCGTTAGAGGCACGCGGCTCCTCGGGAGGCGCGCGCGCCCCGAAACGCGTAAACAAACTGTGGGTTTACTCATTATTCCGCCGCCCCGCTCCGCCTCACGCGCCCCGCAAACGGAGGTAAACAGCTCGCTTTTCAAACAGGTGCAGCTTCACCTGTCAGCTCCCGGGCTGTTACACACAGTTACAGCAACCGAGGACACAAAGAGACACACAAAACAATAACCACAGACACACAAACCAACAACCACAGACACACAAACCAACGATCACAGACACACAACATAACCACAAAGAGACCCAAAACAACAACAAAGAGACACAGAGAGAGACACCACACAACCACAGAGACACAAAACAAAAAGAGACACAAAACACACACATACACAAAACAACCACAGAGACACTAAACAGCCACAAAGAGACACAAAACAAGTACAGGCACAAAACAATTGCAAAGAGACAAAAAATGGACATAAACAAAACAGCCACTACGAGACACAAAACAATCACAAAGAGACAAAAAACAACTATACACACAAAACGACCACTAAGACACAAAAGAGACACAAAGACACAAAACAATGAGTCACAAAACATCTACAAAGAGACACAAAACAGCCACACACAGACACAAAACACGCACATACACAAAACAACGACAAAGTTACACAAAACAACAACAAAGAGACACAAAACAACAAAGCGACACAAAACAACCACAAATAGACACTAAACAACGACAGAGACACAAACCCCCCTCAGAGGAACTATTTACTCCTGTTCTCCGGCCTGAGACTGGACTCACACCTCTCTGATGTGCGTTTGGACCACTTCAGACCCAGCAGACCTGTGGGACTTCCTGCTTTCTGGTGAACAAACTTCTCACTGTAATCGGAGGCCTGAGAGCAGCTCATCTGTTTAGTGTCGATCACACAACCGCACCCAGCTGGCGGCGCCCGAGCCCCTGGTCACCCGAACACCAGGCCAAAGGCACATTCAGCCACAGAAAGGACAAAAGACCCACTGGAGGAACATCTGAGCTAATCTGTTTTATTCAAGAGGCAGAAACATAAATGGAGACTAACATGAGAGGAAAACATCCAAAAAAACCATGATGCTCATTCTCTGTTGAACCTGAGCTCCACATAATAATAAGCCCACATGTGATTACAGTTTGTCCTCATTGTGGCAGCTGGGAGTAAATAAAGTCATCTCAGTCCGGCCAAACGAAAGTAATCTCAGTCCGGCCAAAAGGGGCTCCTGAAGACCAGCTGTCCCCAAAAAGCCCCAGACTTTGTTTACAGGCCTCAGCTGATCCGGATGACAGCCTCACGTGAACAAATCGCCACTAAAGCTGGAAAAACACAAGTTTTGTCCTTCAAAGTCAGACATTTATGAGGGTGTTTTCTGGAAGCAAAGTCGTTTTCTACTGATATAAAAACCAGGGAGCGGAAACGAAGCCGTCCGGCTGTCGCTACTCCACCACCAGCTCGAAGCCCTCCGCCTCCTCGAACTCGGCGTTCATCTGGGCCGCCAGCGCCTCCAGCTCCGTGGAGCCGATCTGCTGCACCTTCCGCCGCCGCCGCCGCTCCTTGGCCACGACCACTCCGGGGATGTTGTGGTCCGGCTCCGGGAGGACGGAGCTGACCTCGTCCGCGTCGAGCTGGGACATGAAAGAGTTCAGACCGGAGAGGGAACCGGACCCCTCCAGGGCGGTTCTGGACAGCTCGACCCTCCGGACCACCTCCGGCGTCTGGAGCTTCTCGAAGCCGAATAAGTTGTGTCGGGAGTCGGGGCTGTGGATGGACTTGTCGCTGAGCCGGCTGTAGGACCGGCGGACCTTCTGCGACCACACCGCCACGTCTGGATCTGTGGGCGGCTGCTGGGGACTGGGGGAGGCCGGCGGGGAGGAGGGCAGGATCGGTGAAGGCATAGCGGGCTGCCGGTGCTTCTTCTTGCCGGAGGAAGTGGAGGCCTTGCAGTTCGGGACCGGATCAGGCGTGGAGATCTTGGGTTTTTTCTGTTGGATGACTCCGGACCGCCTTGGTGTGTTCTCCTTGTTTTGCTCCGACGGCGCGACTGTTTTTCTGGGCGCTATCTTCCTCACGGTTATGGAGCGTTTCACGGTCGCCGACGGCGCCATTTTGTTGTCACTTTTCCGCGGAGAACTGAACCGCGGAGACCGTCTCCTGTGCGGGTCGAGAGGCTGGTTCGCCTCGGTCATCACGCTGCGAAGCGTCCTTCCACTCATGCTGAGCTCAGCGCGGTAAAAAACAAAACAAAACACGTATTTACCGTACAGGAGAGTCACAACAAACCCCACACTGTCAAACACCAACAGCGCAGCGTTCAAAATTCCCCGCCCGAGTCGCGTGCTGATGACCCAACAGTGATTTGGCTGTGACGTACACGTGAAGCGCCAGCTAGCTCAAACTTTTGCTGTGTAATCTGAACAAGTGAGGCTCAGGCACGAGTGAGGTTTCACCCTATTTAATTAATATTTCACATTTGGACTGCTGAACACGATGGAGTATCTCATTGGGATTCAAGGACCTGATTTCGTCCTAGTCGCTGCTGATAATGTGGCTGCTAGCAGCATTATTCAGATGAAACATGGTACGTTAGCTTGTTAGCTTAGCGATAGCTGCTCTGCCGGTAGCTTTCATTGCTGTATTCAGGGTTCACATTTAGCTAAATGTAAAACTGTTTAATTGTTTTTGAAAATAGCGAGCTAATGATTTCCTTTACAGAACAGCGTAAGATTTACAACATTGTGCCTTTGTGTCAATATAAAGGTTTATAAAGTATATAGTCAACTGTTAGTTATGCTAATATCAGCTAACACGAGCTAAATATGTCATTTAGCTGCAGCATAATTTGATAAAGTAACGGACTCTCTGTGTTTTTCACTCTAACTTCATCCGTTGTCCAACACGAAAGTGTGATCTAAGACAATTACGCCTCATGCTCTTTTGTTTTCGTGCTGTAAGACGGTTAGCGTGAGCAGGTAGCCTGGCGGCGAAAGTGAAAGTCAGGACTAGTTGAAGGAGTCTGCTTCTGTATGTTAGGGAAACGTTTACTGGATTTCTCCTTAGTCACAGCACTGGCTTTAATGTGCGAATATGCACTCTATTTAATGTTTGGAAAGTGCCTGCAAAATCAGGCAGATTTCACAATTTTTCTTCACAGGAATCAACATTATTATGTCATCCCAGTAATACCTTATTGAGTTCGACACAAATTTAGAATTGTCACATTCCCATGTGATAAGAAATGTAATTAATATTGATGCAGAATTCATCTTAAGCTTCTTAAAACTGATTAATAATACTACATTTGACTAAATATGAATTGGAAATTGAAGGAGGCTCCTTTTTCTTTCTTTCTTTTCTTTTATTCATTCAGTTCCTCAGATATAAAACAATTTAAACTGAAGAACAACATTGTACCTCATTCTTTTTAACTGTAAAATAAGTTAAGCATTTGTATGATATTTTTGTTAAATGTATAAAAGAAACCTATCCAGGATTTTAAAACTGTCTCCTATTCCCTGCTGAAGCTTTCTTTATTCAGTTTAGCTGGTGTCTTTGTAGTGGACTGTGTTTTTTCTTGGTTTGTTTGCTCCTCAAATGTTTTTAACTGAAAGCACAGCATTGATGATTTTGGCTCCCAGACTATGACAAGATGTTCAAGCTGAGCGAGAAGATCCTGCTGCTCTGTGTGGGAGAGGCCGGAGACACTGTGCAGTTTGCAGAGTACATCCAGAAGAACGTCCAGCTCTACAAAATGAGGAACGGTAAGACGCAGCTCAGAGATCTACGGGGTGGGAGGGGGGAGCCCAGAGTCTGACGTCATTTCTTCTCCTGATTTTTAAGGATATGAACTGAGTCCGGCGGCGGCAGCAAACTTCACACGGAAGAACCTGGCAGACTACCTACGGAGCAGGGTAACCGCCTCAGGATGGAAGTCCTGCTTTCAGTAGCTGCTCCATGTAGTAAACAGACGGTTTAGACTGTGAAGCAAAGGCAGCCATGGTTGGTAATGACACACCAGAGCGGCCGCGTTCAGCTGGGTTTCCTCCAAATGAGGAGCAAACCTGGAAATTAAAGCCGAGGAAGAGCAGCCGAGCAGACTTTGAGTGTCTGAATTTAAATAGATGCTGATAACAGAATCGGGGGCTCAGCCGGCTGTTCTGGGATCTGCTTAGTGCTTCTTACTCACCTCTATCTTGGTCACTTCACAGTTAAGCCTGTTCTTCCAGAGTAATGAGCGAACAGCCTTATAAATATTGTAATTTCTGGTTTGAATTAATTACATCCCACAGCCAGGACCTGCAATCTCATTTCGCTTAAGGGAACAAATGATAAAATCACCAACTAATTTCAGAGGGTTTAAGTAAGAAGAACCACATGTGGAGGGTTGTAGAAGCAATTTAATTAGCAGAGGTTCAGTTTCTGCTCAAGACTCGTTTTAGCTGCAAGTGAAAATAAAAACACTAATGGAGGCCCTCAGTCAAGGAGGGGGGGGGGGTTCCTGAAGGCTCTTTTTCCCGTTCTGCTTTAAAAAACAGAACCTGAGAGCAGAGAGCTCTGCTGGAAGCATCCAGAACTCCAGGTTCTGATCTGGATCCAGAATTCTGCGTCAGCTTTCTGGATCAGCTTGTGGCTCTGATAGAGTTTCTGGGTCAGAACAGAAACCCAGAACCAGCAGAACCAGTGATGGAGCAGCTTTCTGCTCCTCTGAGGTTGGACGCTCAAAATGGAGGATAACCACATGTGAAGCTCTGCTTCTGTCTGGCTAAATCCTGGTTCAGACGTGGGCTGCTGGGAGTCTTTGGTGTGATTAAGTCGTCTGTCGGTGTGCGTCATGTATCTGCTGCTCTAATTTGTTAAGAGCAGTGCAGCCGCAGCCTGTCACAACAGCACAGGCTGAAAATAATTACAAAAAACAATTAGTGTGTGTGAGGAGGGAATGTGGGACACATGGAAGGGGCAGAGGAGGAGGAGGAGGTCCCAGGGGGCCGGGCCCCCGGGGGGCTGAGCCCCTGGGGGCCCGGGCTGACTGGCTGTGTGGGAAGCAGTCGCAGGGCCTGTAGGATCAGGAGGCTGGGAGCACATCATTGATATTCATGCTCCTCGTTTCTGTGCCTGTCGGTGATGCATGTGGAGAGCGGCGCTGCGTCTCAGGAGCTCTGGGAAAGCGAGGCAGGAGCAGTTTGTGCTGCTTCCCACTCCGTCCTGCAGCTACGCTGCTCTCAGGCAGCCGGCTGGAAACAGATCTGAGCCCCACAACCAGTGGAGACTATCTGAGCCTCAGACCAGACCTGACTCACACCATGTTTAGCATTTATAATGCCTGATCAGGTCTTTTTTTTTTGGCTGAAATCAGCATGTTGGCAGGCCAGCTAACAGCCGCCATCCATTTCCCTCCTGCTCCCTCGTTTCTGGGATACGTCTTGAATGATTCCCCAGATTTATCACAAAGGTGAAACATCTCAGGCTCAGTTGTCCATGATGTTGAATTGGTGCTGATAAAATCACTTTGAGACCCGAGTTTGGTTTATGTTAGCTCCTGGAGTGGCTGCAGATGGATTTTATGTAGTTTTTTTTTCAGTCTTTAGAAGCAGAAATGTGTTGTCATCCAGCTCAAAGTGGCTGTTTTTCTAAAGCAGGGAGTCTAAAAGGATCCACAGCTCTGAGTTCCAGCTTTTAGTCGACTGGTTTCAGCACATCAGCTTAAAGTTTCCTTCATTTCTGGATGCTGGAACAGAGCTGATTTACAGGAAATGAAGCCTCATTCTGGAGGAAAACCAGCAAAACTCAGCTTTATGGACTCTAGTTTGGACCAGAGGTTCAGACAGGTTCATGTCAGAGTTAAAGAGCCCCGTGCCCCCCGTCCACTGCCCAGGCTGCTTGTTGTCAGGGTGACCCGGGGCTGCTGCCCTCCGGGGGCCGCTGCCCTCTGGGGGCTGTAGTCAGGTGAAGGATGCTGCTCACATACCAGCCGCATTCACAACAACAACCGTCCCTCTGGAGGGCTGCAGACGGTGGAGCGGCAGAGCCAGCAGCCACCAGCTGAGCCTCCGGGCTGCTGCCTGGGCTCCCTGATGGAGCCAAACAGGCAGAGGTGGAGGGACGCTCGCCCCGCTAATGTTTGTTCAAAGCCCCCGAGGTCAGGCCCCCACTGCCCGAGGCCACAGGGGACGAATGTGGCTGTGTGGATCCACATTTGTTAGGACTGCATGGGGACCCTAACCTGGGACCCTGTCCCTAACCTGGGACCCTAACCTGGGAACCTGTCCTTATCCTGGGACCCTGTCCCTAACCTGGAACTCTGTCCCTAACCTGGAACTCTGTCCCTAACCTGGTACTCTGTCCCTAACCTGGTACTCTTACCCTAACCTGGGACCCTGACCAGGTACCCTGTCCCAACCTAAGACCCTGGTGTGGGACAGGGTACTGTGGGGGTCTCAGAAAAAGGGGTACTAAGCTGGAAACATACTGGGTTTGCCCCCTGTGACTAGGCCTGATGGTTCTGGTCTGGTTCAGCCGTCTGGGATCTCTGGGATGCTGAGAGTTAGTCTCCCATCAGCCTCATTTCCACACACTGTTGTGTTGGCTGTCAGCCTCCAAACAGCCCTGTGCTGCCTGATCCCAACCAGAGAGGGGGGGGCTCTGCCAGGAGCAGAGGCTTTGTTTGGCTGGCTGTGAGTGGGACTCCCTGTGGGGGGGTTAACATATGCGTGGTGTTGGGGGGGGGGGGGGGGGTGTGAGTACAGGTGGCAGCTTAACAAGGTGCTGGTTTTCCTCGGAGGCGACTCGGGAGGCAAAGGTTATTTTGATGCCAGGGCCGTGTAGTTGTCAGTGTAACCAGTGGGGGGGGGGGGG